CCCCCAATACATTACAGGCATGGGAGCTGTTCTATGTATATTTATGGAAGGCAATATGTTCTGTGCTTGCAGTGCATTGTACATATCTCACCTATTAATCCCAAAAAACCTTCCAGCTCCTAAATGTAAAAAAATACACGTGTTTTGCAAACGTAATATGACCTTTCATTTATGCCAAGACTGGTGGTTGTGCATGCTGACAGTAGACAAATTGCACCACTTGGCTGTTTCATGTATGGGATTTTCTTCTTCTCGTGTCTTTGTAATAAATTGTTCCTGTCTCTCTTATCTTTTTGCCACGACACTTATCTGTTTATAGAGTTTTGTTTCGACTAAACTGATGAGCTAACTGCTAATCTAAACAGGACCAAGATCAAACTGAATTGCTGCTACTGTAAAAAAATAAAAAAATAATAAAAAAATAACAATGATCCATGCAAACACTTTTTTATGAATATTAAAATTGCAAACCATTAAATGAGTGTTTAAAAATGTATTTTATTTGCAATGTCAAATACCATCAGCAGCATTTGGATCTGAGGTTGGTTTTGGTTTGGAACTTGCCTAAGATACTTGAGATTGGAGTCTTGAAATCGGCAACAACTCTGAACTTGGATTCTCTTTGACTACCTGTTTGCTTGTCTCACTCCAAACTGAGGTAATTCCAAAAGCCATCACAAATATAGTAAGATAATGGTTCAAAATCTGTCCAAACAGCCCTGCTTTAAAGATCTGAACTGCCACTTAAATCTCTTAAAATAATCAGGAATAATTATCTTTGTTTGATGACCTTTGTAGCTCTTCTGGGTGCAGTTTATGCAACTTGAAATAAGTGTTTTCACATTCTTGTGTCATCCAAGTATTTTTATTGTATGTACCATTTTCAATAGATWTGCATAAATAAACTCAAATCAAATCAGGCTTAAACAAACATTAGTCCCAAGGCATAAAAGAATAACCAGGCAGTTAAATAGAGTAACTGCTCTTCTGCTACAACACAATGTTCTGCACAGAAAACCTGCGTTGTCACATTAGAATAAAAAGTCACAATCATTCCCCCATAACAATTCTGCTGACCTATCACAATCTGCTTCCTAAGCTGAAACTTGTTGCTTTGGGGTTGTTTATACCCTTTTATTACTTAACAGAGAATAGAAAATAAAACCATCTTGATGCAAGTGTTCTGAAATTGCTAGAACAGAAAGCTCAAGTGGTAATTCTGTTCAAATTTCTGAGGGCAACAAACCAAAAATGTTTTTCAAGATTGAATTTTAAGGCGGTATTTTGTTGCTCCCATTGTATCATCATCTGCTGTGCTCCAGGTTCATGCTGTTTGAAGTCTCAGGTTTTCTGATTCTTTCATTTCTTATTAAATTCAGTGTTTATCTATGGTTAGAGGTGATTTTCCTACTCAGAGCTACAAAACCATCTATTGAGCACGACAAGACATTTTTCAATAATTCTAAATGTGAAAGGGTTTCATATTCCCTAGCACTGATAAGATCGACAAAATTGTTCCTTTGTCCCAAGTCAAGCTTTTTTTCTTTTTTTTTTCCATCTCACAATCAGACACATTTTATCAGAAATCTCCAAAAAGAATTTATCAAACTGCCTTTAACAAAACTGCAGACATTTGTCTTACTGTGAAGCTTAGGTGCAAATAAAATTGGCAGGATCTTTCTTTTTACTTTATTTATTCTAGAAGTTTTAACAAATCTGACTGTTCAAAAATAAACACACACACAAATTGACTTACCTAATTAATAATTATCCAATAGTTAAATTTATAGTTGATGTTGTAATTTATAATTCAGCATTTCTATTTTTAGATCCTGAGAGAGTTTGGTGATGAGACAGACCCAGGGCGCAGGCAGGTTTCAAAATTTAACAAAAGGTTTAATAAAATAACAAAAAGAGGGCTGATTGCAGCAAACTTACAAGATGAACGATGATCACAGGYGGGGGAAACAGAACACACGCAGAGCAAAAYCAAGACATGCAAAAACAGCAAACATGCAAAAACAATGATCCGACACAAGACTGAGAYAGGACAGGGTTTAAATACACTGAAGACTAATGACTGAAACACAAAACACCTGAGGAGAAACACAAGGGTGACAATCAAGGTAAATGTGGGGCAGCTGGGCAAAGACACACTGGGGAACATAGAAAACACTAGGAAAACTAAGGAAAATAAATACAGACTATGACAGATCCATTCTATCAGATCATCTTGGGTTTCTGTTTCGCTGCTGTGTATTATCAGTTTGGCACATTTTTCCCCTTTTCAAATTGTGCTCCTTAGTTTTGTTTCAGACATCTGTCTTCACACCTGCTTCTCAATATTCTGTCTGCTTTGTGTCGTTCCTTCAGCATATATAGTCCCAGGTTTTCAGTGTCTTCCTGTCAGATCCTTGTCTTTGTTCAGTTGTGTGTTCACATCAAGCCACTTTTTGTTTTGCTTGAAAAATGTTTTCACCGTGGATTTGCTGCTTTCAAGCATCACCTTTGTTTAAAATAAAGATTTTTTTTACTTTTTATGCCTGTCCTGTTCCTAGTTTGCATTGACTTTTGACATTTATTAGTTTATTTATTTCTTCATCATCAGTGACTTTTTTTATTAAGTGAGAAGATAAGAAAGAAAATAAGAAAAAGGAAAAGAGCTGAAACCACAAATGTATGAAATATACTCTACATTTTTTAATTCACAAATATCCACAAATTTCATTCTTCACAATATTATAGGAACAAGATTTTTGGATGTGCTAAGCCTGATTATATTTGAACAATACCATGACAGAACTGCTCTAGGATAAATATAATTCAATTCAAATGAAGAATAAATGTAATTAAATGATTATATGAGCTGAAACCATCTAAATATACCGTTAAAAAAAAGAAATAGTCATTTAAAAAAAGAAATCAGTCAAATAAAAAGAAATGGCAGTTTTCAGTTTCTTTGTTCCATGCAAAAGCTGGATAATTGCTGCTTGGATTTTGATGTTAGGGATAGTGTGGAAAGCTAGTTTAGCCAAGGCCAAAGACCCAGACGGCCAAACTACAGGAGTTGGCCATCTGAGGGGCATGTGTAATCTAAAAGTTGTTTAACCATGAAATGTTCAGTTTGAGATGTTTATAAGATGTTCAGCCCTTAAACATTTGCACTTATGATTTACAATTTCTTTCATTTAATTTATCGTGAGAAGTTTAAGTTGAAATTTCAGGTCATAAATTCACTTTAAATAAATAGGTCCTCTGGACGGGTTYTTCTTTAAGGGTTTTAAGCATTTCTTCTCTCCTCCTAGAGTTCAGTCTGAGGAGTTTCAGGTAAACTCTTATAAGCATTGCCTCCACATGGTGGAACAAACAAATTTAACAATGAACATCAACACTAACATGCAAAAGAAAACCATCTGCCTAACAATAGATTGTTAATGCCCTGATCATCACCTATTGTTCATAGAGGATCATGTGAACAGAACAAACCACCTGACTATTGTTGGGGCCCTGAATATCACCTATTGTTCACAGGGTGCTGAATCATGCTTGCAAGAGGGGGACAAGAAGCCTCCACCCCTGTTTAAAGGTGGACATTTTTTTCTTCACAAAAATGGCTTCCTGTACTCCTCTCCCAATGCCAGCATTACTCTATCAAGGACGAGAACACCTTCATCCTGAAAGAGCGACCACTGGCCTGTAGATGAGTGTAACATGCAGGACCCTGGCCTGATGATGAAGCTCCTCTGTGCTGGCCCATTCTTTTGAACAGTGGCTGTTTTGTTTCCCCAATGTATAACTGGTCACAGTCCTCCTGGCATTTAACAACATTCACAACATTACTCTGTTTGTGCCAGGGGATCCGATCTTTGGGGTGAACCAGTCTTTGCCATAAAGTGTTTTGGGGTTTGAAAGCCACTGGGACGTCATGTTTAGAGAGTAAACGTCTCAGTTTCTCTGAGACTCCTGCAACATACAGAATGACCACTGGTCTGGGTCTGGGTTTAGGGTCTTCTTTTTCACCTGGTGGTATTTGGGTTTGTCTGCTTTGAAGAAGGTACGATAACCACACTGCTCCCGTGCCTGTCTTGTGTGTGTTTTCTCCATCTCCTGGGTTAAATACTTTTTTCAGTAAGTTAGATGCACAWTTCTGGTTCAAATAAAGAACTTTATGTTTACTTGATTAATAACTAATTTTTTTAGCGTTATATTACCTTAATGGACAGCAATTTTCAAAAAGGGAACTTGTAAAACTGATGTTAAATGCAACACAGTTGAAAATTTGGGTAAACCTGACTTTTGTGCTGGCACATTTAAGAAAAAAATGTTAGATGCACCAGTGCAACCAGTGCAAAAAGTTAGTCTACAGCCATGCATTACCATTGTGGGCAGACCCTTTCCACAAATCAGTTCTGTAATATGGACAGAAAAATTAGTGGGTTTTTTGTTTGTTTGTTTTTGCATTGCTCTGGCTGTTTGCTAAATCACTAATCAAACTGACGGTCACAAAACAATGAGTTTTCAAAATGAAGCAGGCATGGTGGAACCAAGAGGCATTGGAGTAACTTCAGCTCCCCACCACGCCTCTACATTTACACATAAAACAAACTCATACAACAACAACAACATACAACACATATCAGCTCACAAGAAAGACAGATCATGTCTAGGTTGAGCAATAACACAAGAAAATGGTTAAAAAGTACTGTTATCTTGTGTGTTTGAGTAGGTGGAACATGTCAGTGGGTTTGCT